TTTGTGGCCTCCACCCGCCGCCCAGGGGTGGAGGATGAGTAGGTCCCCCCATTGTGATTTATGGCCCCCACCCACCACGCAGGTCCGAACTCGAAGTTTTTGCCGAAGTTCGGCCGAACCCGGCGAACCTGAACATCCAGGTGTCCGCTGAACTCTAGTCATCACACAATTTGAATACTGCTATGCGATTGGTTGGAGCATGACAATATTACCTTTCATCTATTTCTACCCTCTCCTTTTTCTCTTAAGTACCAATCAAGAACCCTTCAGCATTTATTTGGGATATCCCTCTATTCTACATCTTCTCCAAAGTAGTGTGCTCAAACTGAGCAGAATCTTCATGCTTTCTTGGAGGGATTCCCTCTGACCTACCGCCATGCGACAACTTTTGGCCTGTCATGGTTACAGAAAGCAGGGCTATGATGCAAAGTTGACTGAGCAAACACTACATAGTAGGTTGGGGAGAGATCATAGTAATGCTATCATGCCAGTTGGAAAGTTCTTAAACCACCAAACCAGACTGCCAATTATATGGTGGGCCCCCAAGAGTCTTGCCTCTCTATCTATCACTAAGGGTCTTACACATGGTGCAAACACAAGGCAAGGTTAAATTATGTGTGAGGCCTTAGGCGGTTGACTACCTGGCCTAAAGCTGGATATGCCATAAATTAAATTGCATTGCTATTGGATTCCTTATTATTAGGATATTTACCTATTTATATTTATCTATTCTTGTCACAGATACTGTATATGGCAAAAATTGGCATTGTACATATGTGCTACGCTAATATTTTTGAAAACAAATATTGCTTGTTAGTGTTGTGGTAAACTGAATTTAACTAATGAAGCAATCAATTAATCAGTTAATTAATGAAGCCATTTATTGGTGTTTGCGTTTGTTTTACCAAGAATGAAATAGAGCTTTTTGACTAATTAAAGGTCTTTTCTGGATTTCCATATTTTTTTAATTTAAAAAAATCAATACATCTTTTATTTTCTCGTGATTTACTACATTTGGCTTTTTATCTTTATTTGTACTTTGAGTAATTTTGATATACAATAAACAACAATTCTAGCATGTCATTTACTAGTATCTGTCACAAATACATAGGGGGATAGAAAATGAATACAATAGGGGACTTTTTATGGTCCGTGTTAGCTCCTTTCACTTCAGTACCCCAAATAACAGCTTTTGATTCCCAAGACAGCTAATAGTGTATGTAATTGGTCTTCATACATCCAATGCAGACATTGCAGCATTCAGAACAGACAATTTGTAACACAATGATGGCAGCCAGTCATAAAAGAGACAAAAGACATATTGATTAAATTTTACTGTCTAACTACATTCCTTTTTTTCTCTCTGGAGTTCATGAAAAGTGCATCTTCACCCACAGTCTCAGACCTATGAGCTGAATGCATTCAAGTCAATTCTTCAGATTTTGATCTAACACTAATAAAAAAAATGATTTATTTATATATTTTACATTCCTTGGGTAGTGCTTTTATCCATTACCCTTAAATTATGGTGCTTTACATAGATCAGTGATTATGCAGTCATCATCACACACATTAAATATTACAATCACGTGGAATTAGTTTAGATTAATAGTGAGAGGTGATGCAGTTTCTTTTTAATATCTATCTTTTTTGTGTGTTTACTATTGAATAAATAGAGCAACCCTTTGCTTCTATGCACTTATCAGTGCATATAATGCTTAATTTTAACATCATGATGATTACCAACGATTATACTAATATTTGCCTGAATATGTGGATAAATGACAGATCATCACACAGATATAATCATATATATAAATAAGTTCATAAACTCAATAAAATCTAGGTACAAGGGAGCACATCCATCATATGGCTGTGAAAATATAAATTGGGTAGATATGACTGGAAGAATAACTGAGGAGGCAGGATGTCTTTGGGTGATTAATTTAAAGAGTATGACTGGGTTGAATTGGAGAAATATCAATGAAAATGATGAATATCACTGTTTAGGTCAGTTGGAGGGAAAGATTATGTAAGATAGAACTAGCAGATAATTGCAAATAGGGGATAGTATATTACATTGAGGTAACAAAAATGGCGTTGAAATTAATGAGTGTATTACATTAACTGTGCATCAATGGCATGGTTGATTAGTTGGTTAATGCAAAGGGATCGGAATGAACTTGAGAGGCAGAAAAACAGAAGAGGGTGTATCTAGTAAATGATGCCAAATATAAGCATCAATGAAAAAATTCCAAGATAGCCAACAAATAGCCTACTGTATAGGCCGGACAAAAACAAACAAAAATAATAAAGATTTATTAAACAAACAAAAATGTAACCCAAATGAGTGCTACCAAATAAACACCGAAAAAGAAATAATGATAATAAAATCTAGAATGATAACAAGACAAATCTGTAAAGATAAATACAGATTGTCTGAATATAGTAGAGATAAAATATAATTGCAGATCAAAAATATGAAAAAACTTTACTGTCAATAGTGGCTAGGTGGTGTGCCAGACTAAAAAAGCAGAATACCGATCTAATAAATCAATAATCAACTATGGAGTCTGACACTTGGGTATCAATAATAAGCTTATGGATCATGTTGGTCCTATGGGGAAGTGAATGTAAAGCAATATTATAAGGTCTGTCAGAACACCAAACTAACAAATCTGTAATCAACTATGGAGTCTGACACCTAAAATATCAATAATAAGCTTATGGACCATATAGGTCTACTCAGATGAATATAAAGCAATATACAAAACTGTTACTAGCCATAGTGGCTAATGATATGCCACAAATTCAAAAAACCCCAACCTAGTGGCTTGACAATTGATTATAAAGTCTGTCACTTAAAATCTCAATAGTGTACTATTGAACTATATAAGTCCTCTAAATATCTGAGACTTTTTATATTAATAGATGAACAGAGCCATAAATATCAGTGAAGAAAAGATGAAATAATGGATAAACATTAAACTGATATCCAGACAATTGTTGGAGCGGCTAAAACAGTAATCAAAATAAAAGGATTCCACTAGTTGACTAAATATAAAGAGTATATGTATAAATCAGCATCCGTCTTAGAATAACTGCATAAACAGTAAAGCTAACGTTAGAATATCTAGGAGGGATAGAGTAGAAAGAGGAGGAAACACATGTAAATCAAGTTGTAATGGACGGTGCTACAATGTATCACATCCACTAATAACGAAAGCTGTTAACCAAATGAGGAAAGGTAACACCCTCTATATGAATATGTGTCCCGTGCCTTCGAGGGCACCTAGCTCCAACCCCCCAGATATCTGTTAATCAGTATGAGGCAAGAAGAAAGTAAAATCTGCACAAATGAACATACGATATGTATTTAAATAAAAAATCAAATATAAGCAGCGCGGTCGCCAGTCTGTGTGCTGCACTAAAGATCCAAAGAGTGCAGCACACCACAGTCCTCTGACGCGCGCGTTTCGCTACAACCTAGCTCGTCAGAGATGACTATCTTTTTTGTGTGTTTACTATTGAATAAATAGAGCAACCCTTTGCTTCTATGCACTTATCAGTGCATATAATGCTTAATTTTAACATCATGATGATTACCGACGATTATACTAATATTTGCCTGAATATGTGGATAAATGACAGATCATCACACAGATATAATCATATATATAAATAAGTTCATAAACTCAATAAAATCTAGGTACAAGGGAGCACATCCATCATATGGCTGTGAAAAGATAAATTGGGTAGATATGACTGGAAGAATAACTGAGGAGGCAGGGTGTCTTTGGGTGATTAATTTAAAGAGTATGACTGGGTTGAATTGGAGAAATATCAATGAAAATGATGAATATCACTGTTTAGGTCAGTTGGAGGAAAGATTATGTAAGATAGAACTAGCAGATAATTGCAAATAGGGGATAGTATATTACATTGAGGTAACAAAAATGGCGTTGAAATTAATGAGTGTATTACATTAACTGTGCATCAATGGCATGGTTGATTAGTTGGTTAATGCAAAGGGATCGGAATGAACTTGAGAGGCAGTAAGGATATAAACTTGTAAAGGCAGAGCAGAAAAGGAAGGGAAAAGCTAAATTGGAGCAGAGAGAATGTTTCTTTTACTTTCTAATAGGTGTGGACAGTAGTTTATATTGGTGTGACATCACTAAATGGAGGTTTGTGCATACTTGGGCAGAATGTAGACCTTTGATTCAGGCTTAGTGTCTTGAACCAGTCCTGCACAAGTTAGCAAGTTATACAGGATGGGTAATTCTGTTCTAATTAATGCATGTATAAGGTACATGCTATAATGTCTCTTTTGCACTTGCACTACTACAACATAGCAATACCACTACTACCAATACTACTACGCTAGATTTATATTAACTGGTTATAGCAGTAGTAATGTCACTGCCTTAAAACTAAGTACGAATCTCTGTCAGATCACCTTTCAGTGAGTAATCTAATGATAGACTATATATCCGCCTTCTTCACTGATTGTAAGCTTTATTAAGCCGGGCCTTTTTCTTAAATTTTAGTTGTAATAACCCCGTTCTATAATTGTAAAAATATGCAGAATATGTTGGTGCTCTTTTAGATATAAAATAAAACGTATTTTATTGAAAATATTTTTAAATGGCTGCACAAATGTGAGCAATGTGAGCTTGTTGCATTAATATAGCAAGCGGAATGCTTGTTAAAACAATGTGACGCTACTTTTTTCATTGGTAATACCTGTTTTAGCTTCTCCATCAAAGAACAGGATCACACAGGTTACTTTTAAGTGTTCACGGTATAATTGCAGCCCATTTAGCTTGTAATTGCAGTAGTTTTACTCTCCACATTTGACCCAGAAAATGAAACCCTGGCTGTGTTCAGCTTCTGTGTTCTTCCTTAGCTACTCTGCAATTATTACTGACAGTTTTAACTTGCCTTGTATATTTATGCATAGTTTGGATCAAGAGTTTAACTTGTTCCATAAAGCTAAAATGTCACAAAGTAGTGATTCATAATGTTATTAGCTGTTTGAGACACTCCTGTGTTGTAACTTCCGTTGGTTTCATTGGTTCATTTGATAAGTAGCAATCTCACATCAACCTTAGGGGCTTTAGGGTAAAGTGACAAAGCATTGGTCATAATAAAATATATGATGCAGTATCACAGGCATTCATCTTTTAAATCTATACCCTACATAGTTTACATGCTCTGTGTTTTGGAATTTGGATTTACTTATCTGTTTATCATTATCAATATGCCTTTAGTATGCTGCTAAAGTCTAAAAATAGTTGATCATGTCGCAAGTAACTGTGATATCACATGCTTCATTTCTGTGCCTACCATGGTGACCACGGGTAACGGGGAATCAGGGTTCAATTCCAGAGAGGGAGCCTGAGAAACGTCTACGACATGCAAGGGAGGCAGCATGCGCTCAAATGACCCACTCCCGACGTGGATAGGTAGTGACGACAAATAACAATACAGGACTCTTTAGAGGCCCTGTAATTGTAATGAGTCAACTTGAAATACTTTAACTATGATCAATTGGAGGGCAAGTCAGGTGCAGAGCGACTGACCAGTGCGTGCTGCAGCTGAAACTCCACTATCGCCTGCTGCTGCTCACACAGTCTCCAGCATGTTCAAGGTGGAGTTCCACCTTGTGGGCACGTCGCATATGAGGCGGTGAGCGGGAAGGCCAAAGTTACGCTGCAGCGCAGGCAGGCGAGCAGCAGCAGGGTGAGAATGCTGAAAGCATGCACAGCCGCTACAGTGAATGTCACATCCTGTTCCAAGTTCTATTTGACTCTCAGATATGAAGAGCACGCCCCAAATTTACTATTTAGCAGTTTAGCACCAAAACTATTTGAATTTTTAAAACTGCGCTGTAAATGCAATATTTGACGCACCCCACTAATGTACTTTTTAGCACCCCAAAATTTTTAAGTTTTAAAACTGCAATGTGACAGCAGTATTTGGTGCTTCTATTTGACTCTCAGATATGAGGTGCACCCCACTAATGTACTTTTTACCACCCAAAACATTTTAAGTTTTAAAACTGCAATGTGACAGCAGTATTTGACTCTTCTTTTTGACTCTTAGATATGAAGTGCTCACCCCACATGTACTATTTAGCACAAAATTTTTTACTTTTTAAAACTTTGATGTAACCGCAGTATTTGATGCTTCTTTTTTACTCTCAGATATGAAGTGCACCCTACTAATGTACTAGTTTCCAGAATTCTTTCCTAATCTGTCCCTGAAAGCGGCAGCATCCTCTCCTTACACTAATAAGAGCTCATGTGCGTGCAGCGCTACGCGACTCCAGCTTATATATAGAGGCTGGGTCACATGCTGCACTGGCCAATCACAGCCATGCCATTAGTAGACATTGCTGTGATGGCTTCTAAGGGCACACAAGTCAAACGCTTGTTGATTGGCTGCCCTGCAGCCTTTGAAAACTCGTCATTAAATTGCTGAACATCGAACTCCAACCCGAACATACAGTGATATGTCCGTGTTCGGGTCCGGGGTCCAAAAAACTTAATGTTCTGTACGAACTCAAACTTTACTGTCCGGGTTCGCTCAACTCTACTTATCAGCAGTTTAGGAGACTGATCCTACAGCATGTCAACACAGTCACTAACCCCAACATCACTACTTCAGTAGCCAATCACATTAGGCAAACACACAACAGTGATATTTCCAACCTGATATTTTAGGCATTTGAACTTATCACCCTGAATTCTAAAAAGGGGAACTTCAATTTAAAATGACTCAAACAAGAATCCAAATGGATACACATGTTCCAAACATTATCACCTCGGGGCCTAAATGATGAATTTAACTCCACCCCCTTCATTCATGGCTAGGCACAAAAATCTGTGACAATTTATTTTTATGTAGAATGGTCAGAATTTGGTGTCATTTTTTCATAATTTTTTTTATCTCTTATTAGGGATTCATGATCCCCAAATATACTCTCTTTGACCATCAACTAATACTGTATTTAGTGTTATTATATGGTTTATGTTAGTGTTAGTCATTAACGTCAATATGCATGTCTTAAGCATTATCCACATTTTTATTATTATGAATTATGATAATTTATATAATCTACAGTTCTTTTAAATTAATTTATCAATAAATATATTAACCCAGCGCTACCAGCTCATTTTTCACAGCCGTAATCAGCATATGTCATCATAATTCACCTATTACCAGTACATTATACAATTTAACAACCACATGCTGTTATCTGTATTGGTATTATTATTTTACTTTTGATCTTCTTTCTTACTGTATTTAATTGATTTACCAACTTAACATATCATAATAGTGAGTATAGCTGACTTTTAATAGTCATAAATAGTGCGTCTACATCCCAATACATCGGTATAATTCCTTGTATGATACACTCTCTGACATTACCAGAAAGCTATTTATGTGAATATTACCTAGTAAATTGAATATATCATACCTGATGTGACACATAATATACAATTTATTATCAGTATTTAACGTCATTCAATAATTTAATTTATTTACACACCACTATTGTATTTATTTTGTTTGACATTTTTTTGTACCAAACATAAATAGGGCTTAAGTAAGTTCCTATTTTCACAGCACACTTTGAAGATAGTGGTCAATCAGATCCAGTATCTGTTTCTCCATATTTTCACCCCATCTCCTCCGGCTTTTTATGATCTCTTTTGCATTCATTTAGAGAAACCACTCCCTCTGATGCCCTGTGAGCCTATAGATGCATTCAAATTGGCTTTTGCCCAATGGGATTTCAGTATCCCCTATTTTAAACTGGTAATTCTGTTTCCCAGGTCCCCTCTGATGAGCTAGACAGGCGAAGCGCGCGTCACTAACAGTGTTATCAGACATGTTAGGCATTTGTGAAGGTTACCCATAATCAGGATGAGTGCACTCAGAACTCTTGGGACTGCTTAACAATCATAGCAATGAATGCTTTTCATTTAGTACACTGCCTTTCTTCTATATAATCAGGGTAAGGCTTTGGATAACGGTCAGTGCAGGGCGACTTTTTTGTTGGGATAAAGACTGCCCTTGTAGGCACGATAGGGGGAGATAGTTTGTATCTGGAATATTCCACCTGCCCTGTACCCACTGATTCTACCTAGTCACCGTACCTGAAAACTGCGATAGTCAATGAATGTTATTTTTACCACACAATTTGTTAGGTTGTGATTAATACACTCAGAGTTTATGCTTGCTACTTTGTATTGGATTTAACATTGTAGCAGGTTCCACTGATATTATTGTCATTATGCACTGCTGCAGACCTTATCATTGACAGGAATTTACTTATTTTTTCGGTTTGTATGGAGCAGCTTATCTAGTGAAACCCGTGTTAACCCTGTACAACCACAGCATGTCTAATCTTGATGTTTACCCCATATTACTGCAAAAAAAAGCCGCCCCCAAATGACCAGGGCAAATGCCTTGTTAGGCTTGCGGCTAACTGACATGCCGGGCGGGCGGAGCTGGGTGGCTCAGAGGAAGTGCTCCCTCGCCAGCCACCCGCCCGCCCAGCAGCCACTGGACCCCCAGGGAGAGAGGGAACCCCCTCCCCCCAGCATTCCCAAAGGTAAGGAGGCTGGGGGGGTTAAATAAATAAAAAAATATGTTAGTGTGTGAGTGAGTGTGTCTGTTAGTGTGTGAGTGTGTGTCTGTTTGTGAGTGAGTGTGTGTGTGTCTGTTAGTGTGTGTGTGTGTGTCTGTAAGTGTCTGTGTGTCTGTTAGTGTGTGAGTGTGTGTGTCTGTTAGTGTGTGTGTGTGTCTGTTAGTGTGTGTGTGTGTGTCTGTTAGTGTTTGAGTGTGTGTCTGTTAGTGTGTGAGTGTGTGTGTCTGTTAGTGAGTGTGTGTGTGTGTCTGTGTGTGTGTGTGTCTGTTAGTGAGTGTGTGTGTCTGTTAGTGTGTGTCTGCTAGTGTGTGAGTTTGTGTCTGTTAGTGTGTGTGAGTTTGTGTCTGTGTGTGTGTCTGTGTGTCTGTGTGTGTGTTAGTGTGTGAGTGTGTCTGTTAGTGAGTGTGTGTGTGTGTGTGTCTGTTAGTGTGTGTGTGTAAGCTAGTGTTTGGAGTGTGTGTCTGTTAGTGTGTGAGCGTGTGTCTGTTAGTGAGTGTGTGTGTGTCTGTGTGTGTGTCTGTTAGTGTGTGTATGTGTGTGTCTGTTAGTGTGTGAGTTTGTGTCTGTTAGTGTGTGTGAGTTTGTGTCTGTGTGTGTCTGTGTGTGTATGTTAGCGTGTGCGTGTGTGTCTGTTAGTGTGTGAGTGTGTCTGTTAGTGAGTGTGTGTGTCTGTTAGTGTGTGTGTGTGTCTGTTAGTGTGTGTGTGTCTGTCTGCTAGTGTGTGTGTCTGTCTGTATGTTAGTGAGTGAGTGTGTGTCTGTTAGTGTGTGTGTGAGTGTGTGTCTGCGAGTGAGTGTGTCTGTTAGCTAGTGTACGCGTATCTGTCAGTGAATGTGTGTGTGTATTTAGAAGGCGGGGCGGGGGGAAGGTTTGGGTGGGTGTGGCGCGGGGGGGGAGGCACCTGAGTTTTGTCCTGCCTAGGGCAGCACAAAACCAGGATACACCACTGTGTGTATGAATGCAGTGTGTATGAATGCAGTGTGTGTGTATGAGTGCAGTGTGTGTGTATGAGTGTATGCAGTGTGTGTGTGTATGAGTGCAGTTTGTGTGTATGAATGCAGTGTGTGTGTGTATGAGTGCAGTGTGTGTGTATGAGTGCAGTGTGTGTGTATGAATATTTTTTTTTAATATTATTATTTTAATATTATATTATTAATATTTTTATGTTATTTTGTATTATTTAAATCGTTATGTAATTTTTTTTTCCGTCCCATTCCCTGGTTGTACAGTGGTGTGCACTGTGTAGAAGAGGGGCTGGCAGGAAGCGTTTACCTACCTTTCCTGCAGCTCCTGTCAGCTCCCTTCTCTTTCCTCCGGTCCGGTCAGCTCCCCTGTCAGCTCCACCACCCGTGGCAACGCTCTCACGAGACTTGCAGTGGAGCTGACAGGGGGGCTGACCGGACCGGAGGAGAGAGAAGGGAGCTGACAGGAGCTGCAGGAAAGGTAAGTTAAAGCTCTCTGCCAGCCCCCAACATTGTAAGTTGCCATAATACAGACATTGACTCGAGTATAAGACGAGTGGGGGGGTTTTCAGCACAAAAAATGTGCCGAAAAACTCGTCTTATACTCGAGTATATACGGTATACAGTCCATTTTATTATTTATTGCGCCATTTCACCATAGATATAGAGCTCTGACCTTTTACCTATGTTTTGCAGATCCCGTATCCTTATGAGAATGCATTAAGGTGCTAATCAAGCGAAATCTATCTTTATGTGTGTCGTTTTTGTCTTTGTATAGTGCTGTTTTTATACTTTTTTGCCTTAGGGTTTTCTTGTTCTTTATAGTCCAATTATTGGACTTTTTAGTCAGTTTATTAAATGTTCAGTTTTAAAACACATAATCATCACTGAACTGTATTTCAGTCATATCTGTATATAGTTAAATCCTCCATCTTCTCTTTTTGTTGTGCATATTCTACCGGGGTTAACCCCCAATTTAGGAGAATCTGCAACTTTTGGCTCC